GGAATTCTCATGGTATATCTGACTAAAAGCAATCTGATCAAAACCAAATTATTCAGTATGATCATTTGGTTTAAATTTATATACCCTATTCAGGTGACACTTTTTGTTTTCTTCCAACTTTGCATATTTGCTTGTAAACTTCTAAGACAGTTATCCCCAGGAAAACATTTAACAATGTGGGACTAAACAACATGGGACGAATGTGGAACAATACCCAGCAATTAGCATTTAAATAATTGATTGGCTACAAAACAGTATTATGGCCAGATTCCATCTAGGAAAAAATTATGTCTCCAGAGAAAAGAGCCTCAAAAATATTTTTTCAAGAAGTAAAATAATAGCTCATGGGTGGAATTACTCGCATTCTTTATATTAGTCTCCTTGGGTGTATATTCTGATTCTCCTGTAATATGCATGCATTGTTTTGTAATAAGAAAATAATAAAACAATAAAAAGACCTTAAATTTCAGACATTTTTCTAAGTGATCTCCTAAAGTCAACATTTATTCCAACAAATCTCCTATTGTTGGATATCCCTTGGGAAATAAATTACGCTGGGAAAAATGAAATGAAATGGGAAAAAGGAAAACAGAAGCCCAGAAAAATACTAGGTGGGCAAAAGAGACAAAAAATGCTTAATCATCTGCAGGACAGAACAGAAGTAAGTGATAATATATAAAATTATCATTGATCATTTGATAATAACAATCTTAATTTAACACTAATCTTCCTTTGCAACATGATCTTTTGCATCATATTTCTTTCTGTCAAAAGCACTTGGAGCAACACTGATATTACTGTCTTTTAGACGCAAAGCAAAACCTAGTATCAGCTAAAACAAATCAAAAAGAAAGTTAAGGACACCTAAGACATCATAAAATCTTTATCCTTAAGGAAACAAAGTATTTCATTGGAAAACAAAATGAACAGTTTTATCAGAAAGTTAGTCAATTCGTACGTTACCTCTGTTAGTCTTTTGCTGAGTGGATTTCGTTCGGGTTGTTTTTACATCCTTAACAGGAGTTACATATACTTCTTTATTCTTTTCTATTAAAGGAAATAACATAACAATGTAAATTAACAATAGCTTCATGAAATATTTTAAGTGATCAATTTTTCATAAAACAGAAATGATGACCAGTCCCAATACTAGCTATAGAACATTTTTCATAAATCCATGTTCCAAAATATGTGCACACTGGACAATAAGCACGCAAAACTCCTAAGAACATGGTACGCATGGTCATGTGGTAAGAAATGTACCCAAAAAACTATAAAAGTATAATAAACACTTATCAGTAATATACTTTCCCAGGGGGTTAATTAGAAAACTTCTTTCATTTCTGATATCCAATCCCATGTAGAGGAGGAACAGTGTGTCTCAGTAAAGATGAAAAGGACAGCCTCACAAACACTCGGGTCACCATGTTGTCACCACCTTCACTGTGAAAAGCAGCCGTAGGTGCGCCGTCACCCTGCGCTGCTACCGCCTGGTCACCATGCTCTTTATTTTCCTTTTCTAACTGAATCGTGATTTTCTCCAAAGCTCTCAGACACGTTCTATCTTTTACTTGCTGTAATAGAAAACATTTTTTTAATGCAGCATTTTCTAATCTTCTTTCAAAAAAGCTATATACTGATAAACATGTTTAAAAATATTCTAAAAGTTCTAGTAAATTTATGAAGGAAATATTTACCTCAAATGAGCAAAGTCACAATGTGCTAATATATGTATAAATATTAATAAAACTATGTAAATTCTACTTTGATAAAAATATACACACATTAAGAGGAACTAGAAACTACTTGCCTCCAGAATCTCATTCAACAGAACCAGAAGATCTTTAGCAAGATGGCTACTGAGTTCTAAAGAACTCAAGGCTTTCGTATAGACTCGAATTTCTGGTGAATATGGACACGTTAGAATCTCATTGCAAATTTTTATAGCCAGGTTGTCATGCACTGTTAAGGCCTAGAAAATCAAGAGAAAAATCCTTGTAAATTGAAATGATATGATTCCAATACAGCTTACACATCAGACATTTCCAACTATCTTGCCATAGTTCCAAATACATAATGTCTAAAACCAAATTAACATATTCCTCTTCAAACACGTTCCCCTTCTTGTAGCGGATGCTGTGGTACAGAGCCTAGGTCCACCCCCTTTACTAATGGACCATTCATTCTCCAGGCTACAGAGTTTTGGAGGCTAGAGTTCCCAGATACAGAACTGATCCAGGCTGAGGACAATGATCTTGCTCTGTGCAAGGTCACACCTCCTCCCCAAGGGTTAGTCCACTTTCAGCAACTGGTAGATACACAGGTACAACAGCCTAGCCCTTTCTCAATTCTGGACAAAGCAAAGGACTGTCCCAATTTCAGAACTTCCTGTGAGATGAGCTAGAACCTTAAGACTACATGACAGTTCAACTTCTTCCTCTGCCCAACCTGTTTCCTCCACTCCTACAAGACGCTGATCATGAGCATATGCCCTAATGTCCACAGCTTCTCTGAGGTCTTCTGTCACCCTCACTTAGGACCTCAGAGTTATCTTGGATTCCTCCATCTTCCTTGCCTTACAAAGCTCTATCTTCTAGGCTTTTGTACCCGCAACTTTTTTCTATGTCAATTTCTGCTATTTTTTTCTTTCTGCTTTCACTACTACTTCCTTTCACTCTTTTTCTGTAAACATTTATCTCCTAATTATACAGATTTTTAGCTGCTTTATTTATTAATATTCTCTTTCTATTCCTCTTACCAATTCACCTCACCTAATAACACTGACCACCAAACCAACCTTCCTAATAAGTAACTTTCATTCCATTAACCCTTTTATATACACCATGCAAATAGTGTCAACTCCGAATTCCCTATCCTAATGTTCTGCCCTAAGAGCCCATTCAGGATCCTCAGCTGGAATGATGTTTCCCGTAGTTCCCCAACATGACTTGGACAACCAGCTACATTTAGTCACCTTTACTAAAAGTCTTTTTCTCTCTCCAAATCACTCCCCAAATCCCAACAAGGCCTAAGTAAATTTTACTGGGTGAGTTTTAGAACTAATAATGCTGTACTCATCACCCCTCCCACATGAACCCTGCCATCTTCTGGAGTGCTAAAGTGCTTTGTAGCTGTATCACTGACCCTTACTGTATTTTGCTTTAATATCATTCATAATCTTCTTTCCAATGATATGTAACGTAATAACTTGAATGAAGTATGCAGCCACTAAATATCAATTAAAACAGAAGACCAGTACTTTCAATTTAATCAGTTGGCATCTAAAATCATTAATAACACATTAATTTTCAATATGGTGAATGTCTGATCAGGTGATATTAAAGGGTTAAAAACCAGCTTACGTTTAATTTGTGGGAGAGTATGCACTCAATTTATCTTCTTTGTATTAAAAACAAGACTAAGCTTGAGATGAGTTTCATTCTTTGAATTCTCCTTCTATCAGAAACATAGCAGGTAAACCAACAATTGAGGACTCAATGAGTCCTACATAAGTTCATTATTCAGAATGATTAACAGCCAGTGGTAGGTGAGGAGCAGGCTATGAGGATGATGAATTTTGGTAACTTCTTTTCAGCAGCAAAAATGTTAGCATTGATTACTTCTGTTTTTATATGATGATCTCCCCATTTCCCAAAAGATCTTTTTTAAGCATAGCTGACCAACAATATTACATTAGTTTCAAATGTACAAGAGAGTGATTGAATATTTTTATAGATTATGCTCCATTTAAAGTTATTAAAAAATATGTGTTTTCCTATGCTGTAGAATATATCCTTCTTGCTTATTTATTTTTTACATAGCAGTTTGTACCTCTTAACCCCCTATCTCTATCTTGTCCCTCCCCTCTTCTGACTCCCCACTGGTAACCCCTAGTTTGTTCTCTGTATCTGTGTTTTTATTATATTCATTCGTTTTACTTTGTAGAATCTACATATAAGTGATATAGTATTTATCTTTCCCTGTCTGGCTTATTTCACAAAGCAAAATACCCTCTAGGTCTACCCATGTAGCTGCAAAAGATCTGTGTTTCTTGTTTACTTTGTTATGTGCCACCATAGAAACCAGAAACCTAAGATCAACATGTAGCTTCTCTGTTTCAAAGAATCTATGAGAGGGATTATTTTACCAAAACAACAGTAACCTGCATGCAGGGTACCATCCTTACCATCCATACACAGGCTAACACACTCACCCACCTGATAATCTTGGGAATCCTTGGCCTGAGGATTTAATCCACTTGGTCTTGTCAAATCTACAAGTAACTCAGCAACATTAGTGATATCTATTTCAGCTAAAGGAGAAGATGCCGGGGCATTAGCCAGTGTTTGTAGAGTTGGAAGAAAGGCTTCTTCAAAACATTCCTGATTAGTCCTATTGAAAAATAATTTGAAGTATGTTAGCAAGAAAAAGCATGATTCTTAAAAAAACAAAACAAAATAGACAAAAAACCCCATTATATATCAAAATCACCCCATCAAGATGGAGTACATGTTTAGGAAAGAACAAAATAATTCAGGTAGGTAGAATCTAGTAAGTTCTCATTTCCTTACTTACCACTGGAAGAAAAGAGTTAACAAACTAGATATGAGTCATGGGGAGCCTGAACTTAAGTCAGATTTTGATTTATCAATATGACTATATACCTGCTTGCATAAGCAAACATGGGGAAGAACACGCCTAAGCAGTGTCGGAGTCGAACATCCTCCTCAGTCACAGGGTTATACCACAACAAGACAAGGCGAGAGAGAAGTCTGCTGCTGACCAGAAGCCCAGAGAACATCAGCTTGGCTAGTCCTTCTGCAGCTCCTGTCCTGAGTTCAGACACCTAATAAAAATGACTTTCGTTAAAAGAAAATTTTTATTTGTACTTCCTTTTTAAGCCTTACACTGTAGCCTGTCCTATGGTATTTTTACATAAATTACCCAAAATCACTCATGATATTAGTAATTTTTTAAAGGCACATACAAAGATTTTGTTTCCCCCTATTAGGTTTAGGCTAACATGACAAATTAGTCTAGCTATGAAACTTCAATTCCCTTTAAATTCTTTAGAAGAACCAAAATATCTCATAATATTGTAAAACCAAAAATCAAAACAATATATATTAAACACTATCATGGTGCTAAGATATAGAAAGCCGTCAGCAATGGTCTCTGCTATCAGAGAAGGCCTAGAAATGAAAGCTCCAGAGGCGAGAGTGGCAATGTGTGTGAATGAGGGGTAAAATGTGAACAAAAGGTGAACAAGTGGGAAAAGGTATTCTGAGAAAGAGTAACCAAAACAAACCTAGAGAAGAAAATGGGAAAGAAGATGTAGTGGTATTCAGATGGAGGTACAGGTATAAATGAGTGGTAGTTAAAAATACTGGTTATTGACAGAGAATTAAATCCAAGCCTCTGCGTCCTAGTTGCGTGACCCAGTCCTATACATATATTACTTAATTTCTTTGTATTAGCCTCAGTTTTTTCATATACAAAAAGGAGATATTAAAGGGGTATACCTTCAGTTATGATTCTAAGTTCTATTATATGAAAAGGAAGGGAGGGAGGGAGGAAGGAAAAATAAGTTCCTGAGACCTAATGTAAAAACATGGTGATTATAGCTGATCACTATTATATCACTGAAATTTGCTGAGAGTAGAACTTAAATTTTCTCACTTAAAAAAAAAAGATAAATATATGAGGATGCGTTAATCATCCAGTTGAGACCAGGAGCAGGGACAGAATCCTAGAAACAACAACAAAAAAATTAATATATGACCCAGAAATCTCATTTCTAGAAATACACCCCCAAAGAATTGAAAACAGCTACTCAGACAAACACATCTTATAGCATCACTAGTCACAATAGTCAAAGGGTGGAAACAGCCCAAATATCCTTCAAGGGATGAATGGCTATATACATAAAATGGAATATTGTTCAGCAGTAAAAAGGAATGAAGTACTGACATAAGCCACAACATAAATGAGCCTTGAAAACAAGCTAAGTGAAAGAAAGCAGACACAGGGTCACACACTTTATGATTCCATTTATATGAAATATCCAGAAGAGTTAGATCCATAGAGACAACATGCACACTGGTGGTTGTCAGGGGCTGGAAAATCGACAGCAACTGCCTAATGGGTAGTTTCTTTTTGGTATGAGGAAAATGTCTTAAAAATTAGATAGAAGCAGTGGTTGAACTATCTTGTTAATGTACTGTCAATGAATCGCTCACTCTAAAATTGTTAGTTTATGCTATGTCAATTTCACCTGAATAAAAAAATTTATAATTTAAATGTTTATATATGGTATAAAAATGTAGTTCATGACAACCTTAAGGAAAGAGATTAATCACACACTGTATTTTAGAACTTCCACTTACACAATGTTAAAATTATTTTAAATTATTTAAGACTCCTGGGGAAAAAACTTTTAAGTCATAGATCACAAAGACAGAGAAAAAAAGATGAAAAAGTAACAACACCCCAATAGTCATTTCATGGTTGTTTGCACGTCAATTCTCTATACATGTAATTTGATAGTAAGAAATGAGGTATATCAGAAGGGAAAGTAGGATTTAATCATGATATTCAAAAGGCAAACTGTTTAAATGTTGGCCAACATGAATTTCAGCCTAAAAATATAAACAGCATAAACATACACATGCTGAAAATGACATTTCATAATAATAGGGCTACGATTATTTCTTACCTCGCTATCTAAGAAATCAGAAAGTAGTCTCAAAACATTCTTGGCTGTAGCAGACTCTTCAGATTCTTCTGACTCTTGCTCTTCATCAGTGTTTATTTCTGTCCCTTCATTTTGAAGGGCTTTGATTGTTTTAGTTTTAAATGGTTCAAATCCAAATGTCATCAGCTGGTCAAAGATTGCCTTTAAAGCACTTATTTTTATTGTCACATCATCAATTTGCAAAACCTAAATTGAAACATCCCCCGCCAAAAGTAAATTAAGTATACTTTTATTCTGTTTACGCCACATGAAATTAACAAATATCTTATTCTTAGTCTAATTTCAGCAATGGTAGCAGGTTTACGTAATATTTTTCAAAACAATTAAAATCTTCATTTTAAAGTTACAGTTTTTATTTATTTGTACCATAACATTTAGTTATATTTCCTTCAGAAAAAGTTCATCTTCAGTCAAAAATATTCCTGAACTAGAGTCAAGCTGAATTATATTATTTGTCCCCTTCATATATTTAAAATGTACATGTTCAATTATGATTTTGTCATTTTTTAAGATCTAGAAAAACTGTTCAATATATTAGAATTGTTAGGGGCCATCTATCAAGATAAAAACATTGCATTATAACTGATGAAAAGCATTCATTAGAACATCAGTATTCCTGTAGGTTATGAAGTTTCATTAAAGATAAATTTTTCTTATTAGCTCAATATATTCAGATTTCATTAACAGTGAATTCAGCTTTGAATGAACTGAACTCCTTTATAAAAGGAAGTGAACCATAAAACCTAGCAGTTTTTATGTGTCTATCCTGAGTTAAGAAAACTGAATTCCTACATATCAAACTTCAAAGCTATGAAAAAAAGAGTTGAATATTTCTCTTACGAAGAGACATATTATATTCTAACTTATATTTTGGTAATTGACAAACTACTTGGCTATATAGCTTAGCCTTCAGAATAAATAAAAATCACCTTCAAGTTGGTCAAATTAAAGAATAAAGAAAAATGGCTCAAAATTACAAAACTTTGAAGGAAATTTCAAGACACATCTATTTCACATTTTCTTATAGCAAAACTTGCATATCCACCAAAGTCAAATGCTTATTTATGAGAAGGTACTGTCATGACTATTCTCTACAAATTCTAAACATGCTACTCTCTCAAGAGCATCTTGGTTTTTCACGCCCTGCCCAGTCCCTTACTGGATAGCAATAGCTCTCAATAAAAAATTTTTTACATATTTTTGACACAAGCCACAAGCAGTTTGACCATTTCCAAAACACATGACTACCAAGTTCTCTCTAATTGTGTATTTTCTTTTTCTTGGCAATGTCATAAGCAACACTAAAGGATGCTTCATTAATGTTGGGAGAAAAATCAGCTATTGGTTGACTTCAGTCTTTTAAAATAATCTTCATGAAAATGATAATCCATGTCGCATGTTATTTTCAAGGCGAACACAAAGCACTCCCATCTACCTGTTGGTAGTTCACACTACAACTCCTTGCAGCTTTTTCATCCTATCACATTTGGCAACACCAAGATGCTACACAAATCACACTGTCTTTTTACATGGGGAAGTGAAGGGAGGTTTATTTTCCAAGTTAAGCTAGGCCCAAATGTTAAAAACAGACAGCCAAAGAAGTTAAAAGGTCAAATGCATCCCCCGGGGCACTAGATTTAACCCCCCTTGTCTACCAGTAGCACTCTAGCAGCTCTTCTCTCTTCCCTATATTGTCAGTTTTTTCCTTTCAAATGGGTCATTCTCCTTAGGATACAAACATGCTGTAATTTTCTCCATCTTAAGAAACATTCAAACAAAACCAAAAGACTCTTTTCTTTTTACCCCATATTTCTCTTGCTACCACTCCAATTCTCTGTTACTCCTAACAAAATAAAATCGTGAAAGAGCAGTCTACACTGGCTGTCTCCAATTCCTCTCTCTTAATTCTCACTTCAGCTCACTCCACTAGGCTTTGCCCTCCACATAAACTACTCGTGTGACAGTCACCAAACACTTCCTTACTTGCCTAGAATGGTCCACTGTGAATCCTTATCAACTTGTCACCAGCATTAGACAGTTGGGTCATCCTAGTTTCTTTAAAAATCACCTTCACTTGCCTTCTAGGACATCATACTCTCTCCTTACTGTCAACTTCACCTTAGTCTTTACTGCTTCTTCTTCATCCCCCTTACTTTTAATGTTGCCTGAGCCCCAGGGAAGTACAAAGTTGAGATCTCTTCTCAATCTATAATCATTTGTCAGGTAACATCCAGTCTCTAGGCACTGGATACTATTATAGAATAAAGACTTCTAGATTCATCTCCCCAGCCTGGGCTTCTCTCCTATCTCCAAACTCAGATACAAATGCCTATTCAATATATCCACTTGAACCTCAAACTTCAAACTTACCATGCCCCAAACTGGACTCCTATTTCACCCACCTGCCATAAAACCTATCCCTCTGTTTCCCCCTCACAGGAAAGAGCAGTTCCATCTTTTCAGTTATTCTGGACAAAATCCTCAGTTTTATTCCACTTCCTTCTCTCACATGCCACATCAGACTCCTCAGCAAATTCTACAGACATCATCTCCAAATTTATATTACCACTTCTCATGACTCCCATAAGCACAACACTGGTCCAAGTCACCATGATCTCTTTCCTGGATTATTGTAGTATCTTCCTTATGTAGGACCTTCTCTGCTTTCTAATGTGTATCCCTATAGTTAATATTAGGGATCTGCAAACTATGACTCATTGGCCAAATCCTGTCTGCTGTTTTATACAGCCTCCAAGGGAAGAACAGTTGTACATTTTTAAATGGTTAAAAAATAATATCTCATCATATGCTAAAATTATATGAAATTCAAATTTCAGGGTCCATAAATAAAGCTTTATTGAACTACAATCATTCTTATTTGTTTATGTATCATCTATGGATGTTTTCACACTATCACAGCAGAGATGTAGTTCAGACAGACCATATGGTCTAAAGTCCGTATTTTACTCTCTAGCCCTTTATAGAAAAGGTTTGCCAACCCTTGGTCTACACCAACATTTCATCCAGTCAGATTATAAAAATCCTCTACTCAAAATTTTCCCATTCCTTCCCATCTCATTCGCTGTGAAAGCCGCATCTTTACAGACCGTAAGTCTCTAGAAGACATGGTTGTTCTGCTGCCTGCAAACCCATTCTCCTCCTAGTCTCCCTTTGCCCAGTCTGACCTAGCCATATCAGCTCCTGCTCCCTGAACACAAGAAGCAGAGGCCTACTGCAGGGCCCCTTCCCCGCCTTCCCTCTCTTTGGAAACGTCTTACCAAGATATCTACATGGCTCATTCTCATTTCCCTCTGGTAATGGCTCAAATTTTGACTTATTAGTAAGGTCTTTCTCAATCAAACTGCTCCCTCTCCCTATTCCCAGTCCTCATTCCCCTTCTCTGCTTTATCTTTTTTCTGTCTGACATACTATATATTGTTCATTTTTCATCATATGTTTCTTCTTCTAAAATGTAAGCTCTCTTAGGAAAGCAACTTTTGGTTTTTTCATTACCTATCTTATTTTTTTTCTAAGTCTAGAACAATGCTGGGCATTTAATATGCATTCAATAAATATCTGTTACATAATTAATCTTAAAAATACCTTAAATAACTGACATTTCATCTTCTGTCTACAAAGAAGTTTTAATAAAAAAATCAAAAGATAAAAATCAAGTCCCTAAAAGTCATCCATAATTATCATCATTGTCAGTAAGCCCTGGAATAGATTAAATTTATAATACTGGCATTATCACCATAGATTTATTTAAGGCAGTAGAATCAAGATTTTATCAAAAGATAAACCCTACCTGCAATAGTAATACAAAATGTTTACTTGCAAAATCCTGATTCTGTAGTCCACAGCATCCCAAGCACAAAACAGCCAGATTTCTTACTATAGGATGAACACTTATTATTCCAGGAAGAATCTAAAATGAATTAGAAATTAAAATAGTTTTGATCAGGACAAGATATTTATAATAGTATATTAAAAAGTTGGTTAAAATGATAATTTCTGTATATTTCATAGATCTACTTCATTTCTACATTGTCTATTAACTCAAAGAAGTCAATTTCTGGTTTAAAAAAAGGTAGTATTAAATTACTAAAACAGAAGAACAGAGCAAAATACACTCTGATCATGAGATACCTTCCCTCCATCTGCCAAAACTGACTTAATGGTTTCCCAATGCCCTCAGAAAAGATGAAAATCCTTAACATGACATATCATATACCCCATTGTGCAGTCCTTCCCAGTATTATCTTATACCATGCTATCCCTTGCTCTTCGCTTATTCAGTTGATCTGATTTCAGTGCCTCTTATTCAGTGCTGTCCACAAGAAATATAATGCAAGACACATGTCATTTTAAATATTCTAGTAGCCACATTAAAAAGTAAAAAGAAACAGGTGAAACTAATTTTAATATATTTTACTTTACTCAGTATAAATAAAACATCAATGCAACATGTAGTCAATATTTAAAAGCTGAGATAATTTACATTCTGTTGTTTGTACTAAGTCTTTGAATACAACATATTTTTACATTTCTAGCACATCTTAGTTTGAACTAGTTTTTAATAGCCACAGGTTTGTAATATCCACATGTGGCTGATGGCTACCATATTGGAGAGAGTGGGTCTAGATCATTCGTCCCTCTAAATATCTACTCAGATATCAGCTCAAGGACACCTTCCATGAACAAATGAAATCCCACTATCGTAAGTTCACATATGACCATACAGCTCTTCTTCATAGCAATCATCAATGACTTAAGCTTTCACTTTTTTGATTGATATCCCTCCTCACCTGACCAGAGGATCCACAAGGGCAGTCTACATGTATTTCGTATACCATGTATAGTCTATCCCCAACATTGAGAATACAGTAGATATTCAATAAATATTTGTTCACTTAATAATTTATGATTTTTAAAGTACAGTAATTTCATTAAAATATTATAACTCTTCTATCTAAATACCTTACTCATTTACATCCCTCTAAAATCATTATGACTATTCAGTTTTGTATTCTTTCTTCCCTGGGTATTGCATGTTTTCCCACATATATTTAAGTCTTCATATGTATTACAATTGTGTAATTATTAATTATCATAATTTATCATTCTCTTGCAATAGGACCAGACATAAAGCACAAAAGCAGAACTTTAAAAGCATCACTTTTCACTACAGACATCTGCTTCATTAAAAATAAAACTAAATTCTAATAGTTTAATTGATCTAGCTTTAAATAGCTCTAGACTGCTGTGAACAATAATTAGTCCTCTTTACTACATTTAGAAACTCACGACAACCCAAGGAACTAGATTTTAGATCATAGTCTTTGGCTGTTTTCCACTAATCCCAAGTAAAAACAATTTGGAGAGAATCCAGGAAGAGTTTAGATACATTCAGTATTTGCTAAGTTGCACTATTAAAAAAAATATTCTAAAGCTATATGTCTAATACTGAAGCCACTGACCACAAGTGGCTACTGAACACTGGAAATGTGACTAGTCCAGACTGAGATGTGCTTTCAGACTTAGTATGAAGAACAGAATGTAAAATATCTCAGTAGTTTTAAAACTGAGTAAAAGATGAAATCATAATATTGGGGGTATATGAGTTAAATATATTAAAATAAATTTCATGGGTTCCTTTTTAATTTTTTAAACATGGCAACTAGAAAATTTAAAGTTACATGTGGTTTGCATTATATTTCTACCAAACAATGTTGTTCTAGAGGCTTTCAGTATTTATGCCCCTCTGATCAGTTAAATGTAGATTATCTATGAAGGGTTACTTTAGTAAAAACTCCTTTAAATATATAGTAACAAACAAATTCCTTTCACAGGGCTTAAAATGTAATCTTATAGTCCTTCTATGTTAGGAAGATTCTGGTACATAAGTATTCCTGATGTGTCTACTTCCTCTTACCATTCAAAAAATGAAGATATCCTGCATCTCTTTCCAGCATAAAATAAAATTTTCAAAGTTTCTTAAGGAATAATTATAACTTATATACCAGGTCCTTTACATGCATTATCTTAATTTAATCCTCACAATATGAAGCAGCCACTATATATATATATATATATGTATGTGTATATACAACATATATATATATATATATATTTTTTTTTTTTACCATTTATATTTATCAGATGTTTAAAATGGTCTTTTCATTCTTATGAACTCCAAAGAATATTATTACTTATAAAAAGAGGAAGGACTGGGCTAAAATAAAGCCTCAAAGGGCACCAAACATACCAAGGATTCAATGATGCCATTCATGGTTGCGCCTATACCTGTTGAAGTAGACATCTGCTTCAACAGTTCGTGGCACAAAATAAGACACTTTTGTAGTGTTTCAGCATCATTCTAAAATGAAACACAAAATATTCAGCATTAGTAAGAATATCTTCTGCCTGTCCCTTAAACGTTTGCTTTTCAGGGCTTTTTGTCTAAGCCATGGTGTCTCTATATACATTCCCCACACAACCTTATCCAGCCATACAACTCCATTTACTATTTATGAGCTAGTCCAACTATTTTCTAAGTTTCAGATTCATGTATACAACTGCCATAACTGACATTTCCTCTTGTATGTTCCACAGGCTTCTTAATGTCTAGAAGTCTATCAAATACAACTGTTAAAAAAGACAGCTGAAAGCTTTAAACGTTGCTAGGTATATAACTTTAGTATTTCATTTCAATAAGAAAATTTCTAAAAACAAAAGAGTAATTAAACTTTAAAAAATATGTGTATGATGGTATTGTTACCATAGAAATTATTTTCCCAACATCAGAAAGGTCATGAGTCTTCCATACACAAGGGAAAGATGCATTTTCCTTTTCTAAACCATTCAAGACAAAAACAAACAGAAGGAAACCACTGGAAGGCAAGTTTCCCTGGCAAGGAAGAAAGACTTCAGATTCCAGAGATTTGCATGACAAGGGAGCAAATCAACTAAAGTCCTAGCTACAATAAGTAAAGTTCAATGAAGTCTTTCACAGTCCAAAATAAAAAGGCACAGGCAGAAAAATATTATTTTCATATTAATTCATGGTACTGTTAAAAATCCCTCTGAAGTGAATATATTCTGGTAGCTAAGTTAAGAAAAACAAGGTTCAGTTGAGATGATTACTAACAGCAGAAAATTAATGTGAAAAAGTTATCTATACCTTCTCTATGTGGACTTCTTTAATTTCAAGTTGCTCTGTCTCTTTCAGTAGGTTTATTTTGGCATCTTCTAATGCTTTTATTTCTTCTTTTAATTCTGATGCTTGATTAAAATCCTGTAAGGCAATGCAATTTTCCAAAGCTTCTTTTGCCTCAATAAGTTTCACTTTTATTTCCGCCATCTAAGAAAAGATATAAATTGTGGAAACATCAAACAAAAACTATTAATATGAAAAGCTATATCGAACTAAAGAGTATTATTTAACATCTCAAACGTCCAGACATTAAGCAGTCAGGCACGTACAAAGTTGCAGTCTTCCTGAAACAGAGATTGGCAAATCTTTCAGATTGACACAGCCTGGTAACATTTTAGATACTCTTGTAGTTTAATAGTTAATCAATAATTGGCTTTGTGGGGACAATTCTGAAAATGTACAACAAGGCGAAATAAAAGACTTGCATAATTACATTATATTCAAGCATTTCTGTAATTTAGAAGAGAGTTACCTTGAGTTCTTTCTTTCTTGCATCAGCTGGATCATTATTAGCACCAACATTAAGAATGGGTGCCCGAATCTCTGAGATAATTTCTGTAACCTGGTAAATTATAATTCAGAATACATGCTTTAATACGTGTTATATAACAGAAAATGCCATCAAACTGCTTTGTAAAACTCCAAGCAGTATCCATAATCTCTTGAAAAATAGAGCAAGATATACAAGCAAAAGTGGCACACATTCTATTTGTTAGACAATTTTAGAAGGAAAAAAAAAAAAACAAACAATACATATGACTAAAACCCCTAATATTATGGGAAGTTAAACAAGCACACGAACACAGAATAAATTCTCTCTCATTTAGTGCTTGAAACAGAAAACAAAAAAGCATCTAATCTTAGGCAGCATAAAACTAAAATTTCCTGCCTAAAATCCTCAACTTCCTCCAATGAGAGTTAAATATAATTAGAATACTCTTTTATTCTTCCTTTGGGTATACAATGCATAAATAATGACCACAAACTAAACACATTCCTTTCAGAGCCACTGGGCATTGGAGTTGGCCAATTCAGGAAAATGAAAGATACCTTAGGCAGATGCTGGATAACCACTAACTGGGAATGCTGTAGAAGGGATTTAAGTCTATGTATAAGGAAAGGCTCGAAAAGACAACCTCCGAACTAACTTGCAACACCAAGACTAAATGATTTTAAGAAAATCAATGATAACGGGTATTTCTTTTTAGGCTACTCTCGAGAATATAACAGTTGAATAAAGTAATATAATAGACAATATTTATCTCTGTATTTACCAAGGACTTTATGAACATTATTTCATTGGACAGTGAAAGGTAGGTTTTGTTGTTATTCTTATTTTGCAGACAGGTAAAAATTCTAAATTAAATATGTTGGGCAAAGTCACAAAACCAGAAAAGTATCCAAGGGGATCTGAACCCAGGTATGTAAAATTCAGCCAGTTCTCAAACATTTTAGCAACCAATGCGTATGTTTCACCACTTCCCTAACCTGCTTCCATTTCAAACTGATTCAACACAATGACAGGTATGGTAAGAGAAGAAAGGAGATGTTTTTAAAAGTGTGTGTGAGAAAGACAGAATTGGTTTTAAGAAGTTTAAAAACTCAATAAAGAGGCAGAACTAAAACAAAGGCAGTTAAAGGCAAAGTTAAAAGTACTAAAAAAAAAAAAATAAGACAATCCTCAATGTTATTGACAAAAACCTTTTACCTTCATCAACAATAAAGAAAATTACTCACAATTTGTGTTCTCTTATTATCATCTATAATGATGTGCAGCAGTCTCTCAACGAGAAAAGAAATTAGGGATATCGGGGTGGTGGGTAGAGTAAGAATCTCCTGTAAAAGAGCCAGCAGTCGTTTCCTGCATTCAGAAAGAATTATTTTATTTTAAATGTGACAGTAGAAACACATTTTATCTCTAATATTTCAACTATTCTGCAGGCTTAATTACATTTGTCTTACTTCTTTTTTATATTTACCACTAAAGGCACAAAAATATGTGTAGACTTTATGCCAAAAATTCACGTTCTAGAAAAAAATTTATAAATGACCCTATAATCTTTCATAAATCAACATGATAAAATAACAAAATACCATAACTGAATCAAATCTTTTAGAATGTACTTATTTCAGAGAGGTTTAGTAATAGTAATAGAGATTTTTAAGCAAAAACCTACAACTTTATTGATTTATTCTGAAGAAATTGAATTAGAAACTCACTTCCATAGGTATGTATACATATACATTCATATTTAGAGAAAAAGGGACAGGGTGTATTTCCTCTGACATACTCCATAAATCTATATTTTATATGTATCTATACATTCCTGTTATCTAAGAGGAAAAAGAAAACTTCATATAGCACTTTAGAAAGCTAGGTTAAATATATTTAATCATATTGCAACAATAGTATATTTCAACACAGAAAATCAAATTAGAACAAGAGTTAACATTTACACGTACCTTCCTCCTTCTTCACTGGTATCCAAAGACTTGATAATTAGAATCAACTGCTGACCTATGAATTCTTTTGTCATCAAATTGCCAATATAGGAAAAATCACCTCTCTGTTCATCAGTAACAACTGGAATGCTCTGAATATAACTAAAACAAGCACAATTAAGAAAATGTAGAAACTGTTAAGAAACATTAAACAGCTCCCCATTAAGTCAGAAAAGGATGATTTTCTGCTCCTATCAGTCCAAAAATGTAGGTATTTATACCATGTTAAACTAATCTGGTCTATAGAGTAAGTTCTATGCTATTGTCATGAATTTTGCAAACTTAATGGCTTGATTCAAAAGAATTTGGAAACTATATTTCCATTAAAGATTCAAATTTCCTTTAGGAAATTTTCAAAAGGTACATATTTATGTCTCTTAAAATAACTAATTACTCCAATGTCACTCTTTATCAATTATAAAGTTCTAAATTTCTTCTCCAAAAATCCAATTATTCAGAAAGAGCTAGTCTTTCCTGATCACCTATAATTAACCATCATTCTTTTGTTGAAAATAGTAGTGACAGTAATTACTTAAGTAATCCATGAATACAATGACCTTCAAAAAAAGTCAGAAAAATACAGATAGCATCATGAACTTGTATTATCCTTACTTAAGGGCCCTACTAATCTCTGTATTGTTATTATTTTAGTGTAGGTGCTACTAAGCAAGAACCATCAGCTACCCTTTTATTTTTACTATCACTGCTCAAATTACAGCCTTTTATCACCCTCACCTGGATAACATTCAAGAGCCTACCAGAAGGTCTCCTTTTTTGTATGGAACCAACAAATGCCACCTAAAGGCAGAATTAAGAGTTTAAGCAGAATTAAGAGTTTAAACCTATACAACTAGGTGACTTAAGGTTGGAAATAATATATGAAATGATAATCCTGACAAAAAAATGTCATTTTTAAAATGTCAAAAAAATTAAGTTATAGATACTGCAGAATTATGTATGATAAATAAATAAACTGACTCATCTTATAAAATGACAGCCAAGAGTAAATAAAAGCTCATAAACCTCTGGTCATGATATCAGGACCTTCAAGGGCATCAGTTACCCTTTGGATTCTAGCAAGAAACTAAACAAAAGCTACAAAAATGATAACTACTGAAATCAATAAATTGATTTCAATAAATTGAGTACTAATTTCTGACAAGCTAAAAAATCTTCACTCATCTTTGAATCCCTCCCTACTTCTCCATCCCAGCTTTAGCACAATGTATAGCATCAAGACTAAGGGTTTTTTTTTAAATAAATTCAGAGTAGTTGTTTCATTAATAGATTACAAATTCTGAATTGCATAAACATAACTTAAAATGGACCTACCAATTTTAATTACCATGAAATCATCTCTTTTCAACTATTTTTAAAGATAGCCATGATAATGAAGAGACCACTCAGGAGTCTTTTTTAAAAGCTCTCTCCAAGAATTTATATTTAAGGCACCTTTCTAAAAAATGTATTGCTGTCCTTTTTTCTTACTCAAATTTGATAAGCCTCATTAAGCATCCCCAATTTCTCTCTTTATGTAAACACCTCAATTAATAGGAAATTGGTAAGAGTTCTAAGTCACTAACTCTTCCTGCTACAAAACACCTGAAAATGTATTTGAGATGATCAAGAAACTTCCATTAATTAATTGTTTCTGTGCCTGAGAAAACTAATCCTATCTAGTGACATTGCTTCAAAAAGAAAATCATCCTATATCTTAGGTATTCTTTCAATAATAATTAAAATACAATCTTTAGTTTTCCTTTTTATAAGTGAAAAAAAAAAGTTGATTTAAGTTACTTATTTCAAAACTCACAGATTAAGTAACAAAAGAAATATAAGAATGCCTGACCTCTTATGAGTCAGAGGAACCAAGTTCTCCACATGTCAGTTTTCACTAAGAATTAATCTGTGAAGCAGTCTTTGAGGAGATGCTCTCCCCATGTTATTTTAATATTTAACATTTCCTCATATTTTCTTGTATTTTCTCCAACTTCTATTAGCATTTATTACTTTTATATAAATATATATTATTAAGCATTGCATCAAAACTCATTCCTTTTGGAAACATTTCAACATGGCCCAAAGAGCATTATAATGAATTAAATATTAAAGCTTGAAATAATTACCATTAAAACATTTAGTAGATCTGCACATGTTTTTCATGATGTGCAAATGAAAGAGCTTGAGCTATAAGTCTAGAGCTCGAGCTGTAAGTCTCTGTATTGGCTCACATTTGAGATGTTTTTCCTGGATTCAGTGTTCTGTATACAAAATTCAAACACATTCTTAGCTTTGTTCTCTAACATGTATGTGGGACCATTATAAGCAAAAGCAGAATACTATATTTCAAACAAAGAGAATTCAGGCCCATAATGCATGTAAGATGAAAGAAGGCTTTTTAAAAGATGCATCAAAATCATGAAATTTAAAATCTAAACACCAATATCTATAAAATATATATATAACCTTTCCCATTTCTGGGAATCAACCCTACAAAATCCCAAATGTACAAAAAAAAATGTAAAGAAAGCTTAACATACTTTTATCAGTGAAAACTAAAAACACCTTAAATGTCCTTCAACAGCGGAGTAAATTAAATGTTACTGCCATTCTATGGAGTGATATGTTATGGACTGATAGATTTGTATGTACCAACATATAATGATGCCAGATTATCAGTAGTTGAAAAAAGATTTAAAAATATGTATAATGTGCTATATTTAAAAAATTATGCACTTGTGTGTGTGTAAGCGAAGAGAAAGAGGTTGGAAGTGTATACCCCAAATTGTTTAGTTGTTAACTCTAAAGGGATCAATGGGATTGTGGAATCAAGAGATAAAAGAGGAAATTGACATTTTTATTCTATGTAATTTTGTATTTGAATTTTGACAAGAAAGCAGTCATGTTTTACTCGTATAATTTAAAAGTTAACAAAGTAGAAAGTAGAGTAATTCAAATAACTTAAGAAGAAGATACTTTGAAAAAACATTTTTTAAAAAAGAAAGCCAAATAGTAATACTTTTACTTAATACTAAAACTAGCCACAGAGATCCACCTTATCAGCTGGATAACTATGGCCCATGCACCAGAGATCCAGTCTGCTGCCCATTTTTGTTCAGCTTGCAAGCTAAGATTTTTACATCTTTAAACAGTAGTTAAAATACATATGTAAAAATATATACAATGTGAATATTACATGAAATTCTAATTTCTGTCCATAAAAAAAGTTGATGAAAGTTTTATCAGAAAACAGTCACACTTATACATTACTTATTTTCTTTGCCTCCTTTGCCCTACCACGGCAGAGTTGAGTCACTGTGACAGAGACAGGATGGCCCAAAGACTCTAAAATATTTACTATCTGGCACTTAGAAAAAGTTTGTCATCATCATTATCAACTTTATGGAGAAATGTTCACACTTTTAAGAAAATGTCCCAAAACATATTGACTTTGCTCTTTCAATGTACTGACTAGCACAGGATATTCTTCAGAAAGACTCAATGTGCATGCCTATTCCTTCTCGTCCAAAAAAAGTAGATTTTAACTTATTCTCAGTCAAGCGTGGCTTTGAGGGAGGGGGCTGGGAAGTTGACACATACAACAACACAAGTACAGTCCAAACCAAAGGAAAAATTTTTACCTCAGTAAATACTCTGCGTACACTACAGGCTCTGGCAAAATCTGTTCTAAATATTCTTCACCTTCATCTCCTTTTGATTTCAAATACTCACAAAGGACACGCCAATACAAAGCAATTTCAGGAGTTAATCTTTCCAATGGAATCAATTTCCTTCATTTAAAAGGGAGAGAATGAAAGATAACTTAATATCCAGTAAAAATTTGAACTGAGTAGAAAAATGGAAATAAGAAACAGACTTGATTTATAACTGCTATCTTTTTAAATTCAAAGTCACAAATTCACACAAAAAAGAATGAAAATATTTAGACCAGAAGAAATCAAATGAGCAAGCATAGAGATGCAAGCTGTTGGATTTTCCATGGTAAGCTAATGCAAAAATCAACATAACAAAACAAAACAAAATACGCCGCTAAACTAGTCTATGATAAAGTAGTGAGTTCTTACATAAGGAGGAAAAATAGAGAAAAAAGACATCTACCAGAATTAAAAAAAAAAAAAAGAGGTGGAGATAGAAGATATTAATACAATCTTAAGTGATGGGGAAGGGGATTAATTTTAATTGCAGAAGTTCATCAGCATCACATTTCAAATAATGAATACTACATATACCTGCCATCATTATTTTTACAGATTTCTGCAAGTTCATTAAGAGAAGTTACTGAAAATAAGGCATTGAGAACAGAGACGGCCACTTCAGAAGAATTTTCCACATCCAACCGATGAAGCAACTCTAATATATTTCCTTCAGTAAAACGTAACCAGCCTTGGAGAAGATGTTTCTGCATTGCTTGTTTCACAGCATCTGTTAAGTCATTTGAAACACGGGTGAACGATCTCCCTCCAGCTTCCATTCCTATATTTTGTCAGTTTTAATTAACTTTTTATCAGATCAATGTTAACATTAAGTCAACATGTACTATAAAAATGGGAAGAGACAGAGGCAAAACAAAGCACACTAAAGGAAAAAATAAAATACAATGATACTACAAAAGTCACTAAGATGCTTACTTTCAAATGAAAGTAGAAAAGGTCAGAATGAAATACCCAACCACTACCACAGCCTACACAAATATTTTTGCATTCCTTCTCCCCTGGGTTTACTGGGCTGCAGGTTTGATTCCAGACTATATGTAATACCTAATATTTCACTTGTTGCCTGAGTTCATCAATTTATTACACATGATTGCTATTTGCAGTAGTGAATCATACAAGCATAAGTCACTGAACAAATGTTATTCTTAGTTTTTTAAAGTCATCCTGGTCATTAGTTCTCCGAGAATATTTGCAAACTATTGCTATAGCAATATTAAGCCATCTTAGCATTCTCACGGGGTCTGGAAATTTAAAATATATTCTTCATCATTGCTATAAGCAGATTCCCTAGCTGTCACAGGGAGAAAAAGGAAAAAAAGAATCGGAAAATTATACTAGTCTGACCATTCCTAATTGTTTCAGATGCAGACACACTGGTATCCGGATATACACAAAGGGGATGTTTTTTTAAAAGGGGATGTATTTTAAAAGACGGCATTTTTTTTAAAGGAAGAGAGAGGGCTGAAAAAGAGATCCTATCCTATTTCTGACTTAAGTTATTTTTTATAGCCTTAAACTATAGTTTCTCCATATGTAAAACAGAAAAATACTAACTCTGCTGCTTCTAAGTATCAAGATTTTTAACCCTAGGAAATGTATTCTATACAACATACCAAGATAGACTTTGACAGCCTGTGGGAAAGACACGCTTACCTGATCTAATTTACATCACTCTTTTCTAAACCTTTTAGGTCTGACCTCAAAATCTACTAAAGCTTTATGTATAAAGATGTCTAACTTACCTGATCTGTCATTAAGACCTTGTTGAAGGAGCATTACTCTCTGAGCAATGGACATAGCTCTCATGTGAACTTTTTCAGCTAATACCTTGAAGAAATATTAATAATTTTAAAAATGGCCATTAAACTCAAAATAGTTTATGTATTTTATAACTAATAATATATCCTTAAGAAAATTATCAAGACTCTCCAAAAAAAGTCAGTATCTAGTAACACATTAACACAATAAAATTCTATCTAAATTACCTATACTCTCTGTGCATAAAAATCTCAAGTGAAGAAATCATTATTATGTGCCAAATATTTTTCAGAAGTATTTTAAGAATATGGCTTCTTGCCGTTTAAGAAAATGCCTACACAAGATATTGGACTTATTTACCTGATAAGCCAGCTTTCTGACAGCCTCTTTCACATCCTTGGTGCGCCCTACAATTTTGGGCAAAGTCTTTGCTGATGGAGCAATACATGATAACACTGCCCGCCTAACTTCTGGATTTGAATCATTTTCAATCAAAGTAGCATATGCTAAAAAATAGAGCAATATATTTCAGTATATTAATAAAATATTATTTATTTACCCAGTCACAATATAGACCACATTTTGATACTTAACAATATTTATTTTTAATCAATAAAAAATACAATTTTTTAGTCTTACACATTTAATTTTAGCTGAAGATTTTTTCTGCCAGCTTCTCTTAAAAACGACAGAATGAGAAATTAGTCAATGGCCTGGGCATGAAGGCTAAAACTGAAAACAAATAGCTCTAAAGATCATGGAAAATTCACCGTTAAGATTATGTCTCTTCTTCAAGATTTAGACAGAAGTCTAGTATGGCCGGTAGTTTATTTTAAACTGATATGGCTTTATTTACTTATTTTTTAATTTATGTATTTATTTTACAATGTCACATTTTTTAAATTGACGTATAGCCAACGTATAATATTATACATTACAGGTACACAATATAGTTATTCACAATTTTTAAAGGTCACACTCCATTTGTAGTTATTATAAAATATTGGCTATATTACCCTGTTGTACAATACGTCCTTGTAGCTTATTTTATACCTGGCAGTTTGTACCTCTTAATCCTCCACCTCCATCTTGCCCCTCCCTCTTACCTGCCCCCACTGGTAACCACTAGTTCCTTCTCTACATCTGTGAGTCTGTTTCTTTTGTTATATTCACTAGTTTATTGAATTTTTTTTTTAGATTCCATATGAAGTGCTATGTTACAGTATTTGTCTTTCTCTGTCTGACTTACTTCACTTAGCATAATGCCTTCCAAGTCCATCCACGCTGTACACCAAAAACTAATACAACATTTCAAATCAACTGTACTTCAAGTAAAAAGCAAACAACCAATCAACCCAGTTAAAATATGTGCAGAACTGAACAGACATTTATCCAAAAGAGAAAATGCAGATGGCCAAAAGGAACATGAGAATCTGCACAACATTACTAATATCAGGGAGATACAAATCAAGATCACAATGAAATATCATCTCATACCTGTCAGAATGGCCATCATCATAAAGAACACAAATAACAAATGTTAGCAAGGACATGAAGAAAAGGGAACCCTTGTACACAGTTGGTGGGAATGTAAATTGGTGCAGCAACTATAGAAAAGAATATGGAGGTTTCTTGGAAACCTAAAAACAGAACTACCATATGGCCCAGCATTTCCACCCCTGGGCATATATTCCAGAAAAACAAAGGCATTCATTCAAAAAGACACATTCACCTCACTATTAACAGCAACATTATTTATAATTGCCAAGATATGGAAGGATCCTAATTGCACATCAATAGATTAATAGATAAATAAGATGTAGCACATACATGAAATGGAATACAACTCACCCATAAAAAAGAAGGATATTTTGCCATTTGCAGCCCTTCATTGACTTTTTTTTTTTTTACTTCAAAAACCAGTATTTTATAACTGGCATAAACATTTCCATTGCATCAAAAAAAGCAAAACACCTAAAAATAAACTTAACCAAGGATATTTTTATACTCTGAAAACTGTAAAACACTTATGAAGGAAACTGAAGATGAAACAAAGAAATAGAAAGATATTTTGTGCTCTTGGATTGGAAAAATACACATTGTCAAAATAGCCATACTATCCAAAGAAATCTACAGATCCAATGCAACCCATGTGAAAACAGAGATTATTCACAGAACTAGAACAAACAATTCCAAAATTTATATGGAACCATAAAAGACCCCAAATTGCCAAAGCAATCTTTTGTAGGTCTTTTTTTGTCTCTTATTCTTCTTCTTGTTCTCTTTTCTTATGGTTTGATGACTAGAGAAGATCCTTTAACATTTGTTGTAAAGGTGATTTGGTGGTGCTGAATTCCTTTCGTTTTTGTTTACCTGTAAAGCTTTTGATTTCTTCATCAAATCTGACTGAGAGCCTTGATGGATAAAGTATTCTTGGTTGTAAGTTTTCTTCTTTCATCACTTTAAATATATTGTGCCACTCCCTTCTGGCCTGTAGCATTTCTGCTGAAAAATCAGCTGATAACCTTATGAGAATTCCCTTATATGTTATTTGTTGCTTTTCTCTTGTTAATATTTTCTCCTTAATTTTTGTCAATTTGATTACTATTTGCCTTGGTGTGTTCCTCTTTGGGTTGATCCTGTGTGGAACTCTTACTTCATGGACTTAGGTGACTGTTTCATTTCCCAAGCTGGGGGAGTTTTTGGATATTATCTCTTCAAAAGTTTTCTCAGGTCCTTTCTCTCTCTCTTTTCATTCTGGGACCCCTATAATGTGAATATTGGAGCACTTCATGTCGTCTCAGAGTTCTCTTAAACTATCCTCATTTCTTTTCATTCTTTTTTCTTTCTTTCTGTTCTGCAGTAACGATGTCCACTAATCTGTCTTCTAGCTCACTGATCTGCTCTTCTGCCTCACTTAGTCTATTCTTGGTTCCTTCTAGTGCATTATTCATTTCAGTGATTTTATTCTTCAACTCTGTTTGGGTATTCTTTATACTTTCCAACTCTTTGCTAAAAACTTAATTCTTAATTACTCCTCATGAGTTCTCTGAACATCTTCACCATTATTACTCTGAACTCTTTCTCAGATAAATTGCCTATCTCCTCATCACTTATTTCTCTTTCTGGGGTTTTATCTTATGCCTTGGCTGGGAGCTATTCCTCTGCCACCTCATATTGTCTTTCTATTTGTATTTTTAGGTAGGTTAGTTATGTTTCTCGACCTTACAGAGGTGGCCCTCTCTGGGAGACATTGTATGCATCCCACCAGTACACTCCTCTCTTGTCACCCAAGGGCCGGGGCCCAGCCAGTTCCAGTGTTTATAGTCTGGCCTGTGTTTGTGGATTCTTTCCAGGTGCTTTGGGATTGTTGTTTTATTATTTCTGGAATCTGTCCCCTGGTGGATGAGGCTGGACTAGAGGCTTATGCAGGTTTCCTGGAAGGAGGAGTTGGTGCCTGCCCCCTGCTGGGTAAAGCATGGTCCTGGTCCTCTGGTGGGTAGGGCCTTATCTAGGGTTGTGTCTAGAGGTGCCTGTGGCTCAGGAAGTCGGCTGATAGGTGGGGCTGTGTTTCCACCCAGTATGTTGTTTGGCCTGAGGCTTCCCAACCCTTAAGCCTACAGGCTGTTAGGTGGGGCTAGGTTTTGGTGCTGATGATTTAATCAAGATGTAAGCCTCCAGAAAAGCTCATGTACATGAACACTCCTGGAATGTCTGCCACCAGCTTTTATGTTCCCTGCATGAGAGGGATGAATAAGTGACTTAGAAGACAGGATAACAGAAATAACACAATGAGAACAGTAGGCAGAAAAGCAAGCAAGAATCTGAAAGCAATATAAGGCACCTATAGGATAACATAAAGCATGCATAACAGGAGTCCCAGAAGGAGAAGAGGAAAGGGAATTGAAAGTTGAAAAGGTATTTGAAGAAACCATGACTGAAAATTTCCCAAACCTAAAGAAGGAATCAGATATCCAAGCACAGGAAGCACAGAAGGTCCCAAACAAGAAGAATCCACATAGACCTACACCAAGATATATTATAATTAAGATGACCAAAGTTAAAGAAATGATTAGTTAAAAGGGATCCCCCTATAAGGCTTTCAGCTGATTTCTCAACAGAAACATTGCAGGCCAGAAGGGAGTGACAAGACACATTCGAAGTTCTGAATGAGAAAATCTAGGATTCTTTATCCAGCAAGAGTAAACCTTAGAACAGAATGACAAAGAATTTTACAGACAAGCAAAACGTAAAAGAATTCAGCATTACTAAACCTATCCTAAAAGAAACATTGAAAGCTCTATTCTAAAAAGAAAAGAAGTGAGAAGCTACAGAAAGGAGAAAACCACAACTGGAGATGCAATAACTACAATGAGCTGTAAGAGAATAAACATGAAGATGTAAAAGAGGACATCAAAATCATAAAAGGTGGGAGAGGGGAGCAAGAAAATAGATTTTTTTAAAATTCTTTTTAGGATATGTCTGAGCTTATATGACTATCAGTTGAAAGCAAGCAGATGGGTTAATATACTTGAAAAACAGTGTAACCACAAATCAAAAGCATACAATAGAGTCACAAAAACCAAACAGAAACCAAGATAATACAAAAGAAAATTATCAAACAACAAAAAGAAAAAGAAAAAAAGAAAGGAAGAAAAGAGGAAATAATCAAATCAACTGGAAAACAAGTTCAAAATGGCAAAAACACACATCTATCAATAATTACTGTAAATGTCAATGGACTAAATGCGCCAATCAAAAGACACAGAGTGGCAGATTGGATAATAAAACAAGAATCTACAATATGCTGCATACAAGAGATCCATTTTAGGGAGAAGGGTGCACATAGATTGAAAGTGAGAGAATGGAAAAAGATATTTCATGTAAATGGAAACAAGAAAGCAAGAGTAGCAATACTGATTTCGGACAAAATAGACTTTAAAACAAAGGTCAGGAAGAAGGATAAAGAAGGACACTATATAATGATTAAAGGAGCAATACAAGATGAAGATATTACATTCGTTAACATATATGCACCCAATATAGTAGCACCTAAATACATTAAGCAAATACTAACAGACATAAAGGGAGAAATTGATGGGAACACAATCATAGTAGGAGACTTTAACACCTCATTAACATCACTGGACAGATCTTTCAGACAAAAAAACCGTAAGGCAATGGAGAAACTAAATGACACAATAGAAAAGTTGGATTTAGTTGATATTTTTTGGACATTACATCCCCCAAAAAACAGAATATATATTCTGTTCAAATGCACATGAAATACTGTCTAGGATAGACCACATACTTGGGCACAAAAGAAGCCTCAACAAATTTAGGAGGACAGAAATTACGTCAAGCATCTTTTCTGACCACAACGGAATGAAACTAGAAATCAACCACAGAAAAACAAATGAGGGAAAAGAACCACCACCTGGAGACTAAACAACATGCTACTAAAAAAGCAATGGGTCAAAGATGAAATCAAAGAAGAAATTTAAAAATACTTTGAGACAAACAACAATGAAAACACAACCACACAAAACCTATGGGATGCAGCAAAAGCAGTCCTAAAAGGGAAGTTCACAGCGATACAGCCCTTCTCAGAAAATAAGAACACTCTCAAATAAACAATCAAACCTACCCCCTAAAAGAATTAGAAAAAGAAGATTAAGCAAAACTTAAAATTAGCAGAAGGAAAGAAATAATAAATATCAGGGAGGAAATAAATAAAATAGAGATTTTTAAAAATAATTTTTAAAAAACCCAAACTAAGATCTGGTTTTTTGAAAGGGTAAACAAAATCGACAAACCTCTGGCCAGGCTCACCAAGAAAAGAGAGAGGACACAAATAAACAAAATAAGAAAGGAAAATGGAGAAATTACAACCAATACAACAGAAATACAAAAAAATCATAAGAGTATACTCTGAATAACAATATGGAAACAAATTGGACAACCTAGAAGAAATGGACAAGTTTCTGGAAACGTACAGTCCACCAAGACTGGATCAAGAAGAAATTGACCACCTGAACAGACTGATCACTAGAAATGAAAGAGAACCAGTGATAAAAAAAAACCTCCCTAAAAAAAAAGTACCAGGACCAGATGGCTTCACTAGGGAATTCTACCAAACATACAAAGAAGAATTCATACCAATCCTTCTCAAACTTCCCAAAGATTGAAAAGGAGGGAACACTCCCAAACTCATTCTATGAAGCCACCATCACCCTAATATCAAACCCAGACAAAGACACAATCAAAAAAGAAAATTACAGGCCAATATTACTGATGAACTTAGATGCAAAAATCTTCAACAAAATATTAGCAACACATAAAAAAGATCATATACCATGATCACGCTGGATTCATTCCAGGGACACAAGGATGGTTCAACATATGCAAATCAATGAATGTGATACACCATATCAACAAAAGAAAGGACAAAAATCACATGGTCATCTCAATAGATGCAGAAAAAGCATTTGGTAAAATTCAACACCCATTTATGACACTCTTACCAAAGTGGGTATGGAGGGAAAATATCTCAACATAATAAAAGCTATTTACAATAAACCGACAGCCAGCATACTGCTCATCGGTGAAACGCTGAAAGCCTTCCCCCTAAAATCTGAAACAAAACAAGGATGCCCACTCTCACCACTTCCATTCAACCTATTCAACATAGTATTAGAAGTCCTAGCCACAGCAATCAAGCAAGAAAAAGAAATAAAAGGGATCCAAACTGGAAGAGAAGAGGTGACATTGTCACTGTATGTGGATAACATGATACAATACACAGAAAACTCTAAAAGCTTCACACAAAAACTACTAGAGCTGATAAAAAGAACTCAGCAAGGTAGCAGGATACAAGATTAACATACAGAAATCAGTTGCATTTCTTTATACTAATAACGAAGTATCACAAAAACAAAGTAAAAGAAACAATCCCTTTTAAAATAACATCCAAAACAATAAAATACTTGGGAATAAATGTGACCAAGGACGTGAAAGACTTATGTAAGAAGAACTACAAAACACTGATTAAGGAAATTAAAGGTGACTTAAAGAAATGAAAAGATAGCCCATGCCCTTGGATTGTAAGAATCAGTATTGTTAAAATGGCCATACTACCCAAGGTAAACCCACGGATTTGATCTCGATCAAATTACCCATGACATTTTTCACAGAACTAGAACAAATAATCTTAAAATTTATATGGAATCACAAAAGACCCAGAATTGCCCAAGCAATACTGAAGAAAAAGAACGAAGATGGAGGAATAACACTCCCAGACTTCAGATAACACTACAGAGCCACAGTAATCAAAACAGCAAATTGGCACAAAAACAGACATATCAATCAATGGAACAGAACAGAGAGACCAGAAATAAACTCACAGACATACCGTCAACTAATCTTTGACAAAGGAATCAAGAATATACAATGAAGAAAAGACAGTCTCTTCAGCAAGTGGTGTTGGGAAAACTGGACGGCTGCATGTAAATCAATGAAGTTAGAACACTGCCTCACACCATACACAAAAATAAATTCGAAATGGCTTAAAGAGAATATAAGACAAGACACTATAAACGTCCCAGAAGGAAACATAAGCAAAACATTCTGACATAAATCTTAGCAAAGTTCTCCTAGGGCAGTCTACCAAGTCAATAGAAATAAAAGCAAAAATAAACAAATGGGACCTAAATAACTTATAAGCTTTTGCACAGCAAAGGAAACCATAACCAAAACAACAACCTACAGAATGGTAAAAAATATTTTCAAATGATGCAACTGACAAAGGTTTAATTTCCAGAATATATAAACAGCTCATACTACTTAATAACAAAAAAAACACCCAACCCAGTTCAAAAATGGGCAGAAGACCTAAATAAGCAATTCTCCAATGAAGACATATAAATGACCAATGGGCACATGTAAAACTGCTCAATATTGCTAATTATCAGAGAAATTCAAATCAAAACTACAATGAGGTATCACCTCACACCTGTCGGAACAGCATCATTCAAAAGTCCAAAAACTATAAATGGTGGAGAGGGTATGGAGGAAAGAGAACCCTCCTACACTGTTGGTGGGAATGTAGTTTGGTGCAGCCATTATGGAAAACAGTATAGAGATTCCTCAAAGAACTAAAAATAGAGTTACCATATGATCAGCAATCCCACTCCTGGGTGTATATCCAGAGGGAAACTTAATTTGAAAAGATACATGCACCCCAATGTTCACAGCAACACTATATACAATAGCTCAGACATGGAAGCAACCTAAATGTCCACTGACAGATGACTGGATAAAGTTATGGTATATTTATACAATGGAATACTACTCAGCCGTAAAAAAAGAATAAAATAATGCCATCTGCAGCAACATGGATGGACCTGAAGATGGTCCAGTAAAGTGAAGTAAGCCAGAAGGAGAAAGAAAAATAACCATAGTTTTATCACTCATATTTGGAATCTAAAAAAAGAAAAAAGAAGACAATAATGAACTCATCTACAAAACAGAAACAGACTCACAGACATAGTAAACAATCTTATGGTTACTGGGAGAAAAGGTGGGAAGAGATAAATTTGGGAGTTTGAGATTTGCAGATGTTAACTACTATATATGAAAACAGATTAAAAAACAAATTTCTTCCGTATAGCACAGAGAACTGTATTCAATAATAAC